TGTCTACACGGAGTGCCACAGCTCGATATATCCCTCCTGTTTGGAAGACGTGTCAGTAAACCAAACATTCTGTAACTGCCTGGAAAATGGAGGGGCAACCTGTATTACAGGAGGGAGTTCACTTGTTTCCCTACCTGGGCCCATCTCCTCCTGAATGGTTAACATCTTTACAGCCCCCTCGGGTACCGAGAAGATGTCGCAGTAATGTTCTATCTGGGCATCCCATTTTCACACAGAGGCTCTCTGGGCCACCCTGTCAGGGGGTGGAGTTCCAGCCAAAACTGTTTTAATTACTTTAAATGGGCCTCTGAGCACTATTGGTTGTTGTCGGATAGTTCGTTTAGCCTTTCTGAAAGGATAACCTGACCACAAACAAACCCTTTTCCCAAGCTGTGTATCTTTTTTCAGCATCTTTAAAACTGCGAGAGTACAATCCAATGGGTCGAGTGGGTCCTTCGGGGCCATTTTACCACAAATGTATAGATAGCCCAGTTTTGGCAAATCCGCATTCGATATGGACTGGGTCTGTAGGGTGAATAGGACCCAGAGCTTGATGGGTAGTTGCTTCAAACACCAGCAACTGCAATGCCTCCTCATGGGGCTCAGTCCATTCCCATTGGGCCCCTTTTTGCAACAAGTCATATAGGGGTCTTGCAATAACTGAAGAATCAGGAATGTGTTTTCTCCAAAACACAAGCAGCCCCAGAACATGCTGTAAGTCCTTTTTTGACTCTGGCATCTTAATCTGATCTAGCAAGGAGAGTGCGTCAGGTGGGATACATGTCATTCCTCCCTTCCACCAGGCCCCTAAAAACTTTACTTCACTCGAGGGTCTCTGGCCCCCAAGGGTATCGGTTAAGGCTTAACATTTGTAAGCTTTGAAGGGGGAAGTGTCAGCGCGGCTTGTGGCAGCCAAATGTCTATTATTGGAGCGCCAAATGACCACTATCTCCCTTTATTATCAGTCCAGGTTCTCCCTTTCAGAACATCAAGTCCCAGGAGGTTGAGTGGAAATTCTCCCACAACCATTTCCACCATGGTGGCAATATCTTCTCCCGGCAATCGTAGGTTGACTGTTGCTAACGCCTGTGGCTGAACATTGCCAAATGCGTCTGCTACAAACAGCCTCTGTTTAGAAAATTTAACCCCACAGTTAGTAGCATCCTTTGTTTTGATAGCTGAAATTTGAACCCCAGTATCTACTAAAAATGTGACCTGGATTTGTTTTGGCCCCACAAAGCTTGTAATTAGTAAGTCACCCCGGCCATTTTCAGTGAGCCGTCTGATATATAACCAACCTTCACCCCCCTGCTCACCATTGGAGGGCGAAGGATCTAGTTTTCCGCCAAATATCGGGGGACCTTTGTTTCTGATTTTGTTTCTGATAAGTCAATTAAAGAGGGTGCACTCAGGGTGGTATTTTTAGAACCCGTCTCTTTATCTGCCAATTTATCAGGCCATTCAGACACCAGTTTTTCTACCTTGTCAGTTGGCAATCCATCCATTAAGTCACACAGGATCCCCTTTTGGCACCCCTTTGCCCACAGACTGCTGCGCTTATTTGGGATGTCCCTCCCTCCAGGTGGTTTAGTGAGGGGTGTTTTTCCATCACCTTCAGGGCATGGAACCATTTTTACTTCAGCTCGCCTTAGGCCTCTAGGGTCTGTTTTAGTGGTCGGAAGGTTTACGGGGCCATACTTGTGCCTGTAATTGATCAATTCTTGGGAGACCTCCCCCCAAGTCCACATCTTCCTATCCGGGGACCAGCAGTGCCGATCAGGTGTAAGTCCTTCTAAAGCAGCTGCAACTCTTTCGCTCTGAAGCATTGCCTGTATTTTCCCCTGTAACTGTATACCAATCGGCTTTAAGGAATCGGGGAGTCCCCTCATAAGGGCAGTCATTGGCTCAGGATCTACAGGCATCATCATCGGGGACTCCTGCCTAGGCTCCAACTTCCAATCATACATCATCTGCAAGCAAGCTGCCTTATGCGCACTTTCCACTAATTGATCAACAGTCCCCGTGATTGCGAGGGGATCCCCCCTCTCCAAAGGGTTCAAACCCCCCCACCCAATAGGGTGCCCACTGGGTTAAAGACCAAAGGGCGTGGTAATTCCCGGTAGTCAATAATACTCCCGGTTCCCAATACCTTTCCGCCTCCTTTTCACTTAACAAAATCTGATCCCGCCCAGATAACAATACTCTCCACATATACTCCGTCTCCAACTCCCTAAGGGTTTGACCAAAATCCTTTTTTAATTTTGCGAACTCGGTGGCAGTATAGGGGACCTCCTTGGTTGTAACTTGGGGGAACTGATCCTGATCATCATCATAAATATACTCGGTCTTAACCAAGGGTCGCAGCAAGAGCGGCGGTTCTAATTTCTCTACTTTTTCTCTCACTGCCTGCAAGTCGTTAAAAGGATAACCAGTTTCCAATCTTGGGGGTATTTCCTCGTGGGCAGTGCCCGCAAGGAGTTGCTCCTTAAGAGCAATCTGCAGATGTTTCACCTGGTCTCTCTCTCCTTCAAGCTGTTCCTTTAATTCCGCCACTTGCCCCTGAAGGGACCGAATGAGGTTTTGGAGGGATTCAACAATTAGGGATTCCTCAACGCAACAACGTTCCCTGACAGGTCTCACGTAAAACAGTACGGCACTCTCGTCTCAAGGGATCCTGTCTGTGATGCCAATTTAAATGTTATGATCCAATATCAAGGGAGGTTTCGATGTGATCCCAAGAGCGAGATTAAGACACAAACGAGGTCAAATGCCATATGTCTTAAACAACTTTTATCATCAAAAGTAAAACCTAGTAGCAAGACTGTATGTCCTAAACAACGTCTATTATCAAAAGTAAAAGTTAGTAGTGATAGGATAGATTAGAATAAAGATAGAAATCAAGCAAGCATTCGGGATAGAGTTGCGAGAATTGTCACCACCATGGATCTGCGACGTCTCAGAATCCAAGTCTTTTAGTGCTTCGGTAGTGAGCGGTCGCTCTGGGGTCCACGGTGAGCGATCTCTCTGGAGTTGGCCGTGGTCGATCGCACCGGGGGTCGTCTTGTCAGTCCCCTTTATTCCTCTTCGAGGGCTGCAGTTTCCATGGCAACGGTACATTGCCACATTCCTAGACAACATGGAGTCTTGCTCAGAGCACAGCCCCTGCAAACTGGAGGCCTCCGTGGCCTTGCAGCTGCTCTTCTTAGATAAGCAATCTTTGAGACAAATGTTCTACAGTTCAGTCTCTCACACAGAGCAGGCACTCAGCGAGCCTCCAGTGGGAGCCTTTGTTTTCAGGTTCTGGCCAACTTGAGACGACTGACCCCACATCTCTCAGATGGTGCCATGGGAAAGTTATTCTTCTTTAAATCTGCTCCTGTAAATAAGGCTTCTGAGGCTATGAATTTGAGAGCCACTGAAGCCAGTTAAAACACAAAGACGGTATAAGATAAAATATAGACAAATTTCATGAGACATGGTGTAAAACACAAAGTCTCCATGCTCCTCATAGATGGCCTAACCAGGAAGGTAAAGGTAGGATTTTGCTTGTTTGTACCTTTCTGGCTTTTGCATTCCTAGGTGCAATATCTCACCTCCAAAAGAACTTTCAAAAGAAAGCTTTCTGCTGCTTTTTCTCCATAACGTTTTCTCCTGAAAATTGAGAAATTTATTGTATCTTGCAGTGAGTGATCTACCTACATGTAAAAGATATGCAACATTCCCTAAGAAATTGGGTACCTAAATTTGTAATGTTGCAGAGTTATAAACATGTCATAGCTGCTCTTTTTCACAAAAGAGACCCTTCCAAGCATTGGTAGTCAGCAGAAGTTAACTACCAACTAAGTTTCAAGCTAAATAAAAACCATAATGACATCTTCAAGAAATCCAAATTCCCATTTCCTTCCTCATACACTTTACAGATCAGAATGATCAGGTAAATCATGGTACTTCTAATTAGGTGTGAGCAAAAGAAGATGCAACTCTGAATGCAGCAAAACATTAATAGAATGATGTAATTCAACACTAAATTTCATTCATGTTTATGCTTGATTTTCCTTATATAAAAAAATGCTAAAGTTTTCAACCCACTATTAAAAAGGTGGCAAAGTTCATATATAACTAAAAATTATATGGAATAGAACAAGAATGTTCAAAATTCTTGTCCCTAAAAAAAATTACTGAATAACTTTTTTTCTCTTTATCCAAGATCTGGTCAGTATCCTTTGGTTTAACAACTTACTTTATGATTATAAACAAAAATTAAAATAACTTATTTGTATGCAGTTATATTTATTTTATCTTTCAACACTTCTTTCTATATAGAACCAAGAAATATTTGAAACACCTCAGAAACTTCACTAAGCTCTTGCAGCCAAAATATTGATTTGCACCATTGCCTGCTCAAATCTGTTGCATTTTTATAGATATCATGGTTGCTGCTCATGATATGTAAGCCTGATTATGATTCATTCTCATTGTTTTTTTCACTTCCCTTTTCTGCTGAGAGTAGTCATGGTTTTCTTTGGTTGTTTATTCAGTAAGAATACTTGTGATTTAAAGAGCTTGATTTTATTTTTCCTGAACAAGTCTTTGAGGATATATAGCTTGGATAGGCAGTAGAACTATAAACAATCTCTATTATCATTCTCTTAACCACTAAAATTTAAGCAGCCGGGAAGGAAAGTTGAAGAAAATGTTGTTTGCAATTTTTATAGTATTACTACGAAATTTTTTGTATTCTTACATGCCTTTGTGAGAATTCATTATTAGATATATTTTTCTCACTCAACCAGACAATTTTTTTAGGAATGAAACCACACAGGACTGAATGGATGAGGGATGGGATTCCCTCATGCAGTCTAGTCCCTATCTTCTGCAATAACGGGCAACAAAAAAATAGCTATATATTAGGAGGACCCATACACTATTTACAAACACAGGACCTATGAACACAAAATAATTCTCTGCACTTCATAAGAAATATAGGAACCAAGGTAAAATATAAAAAGCTGCATATGTAATGTGCTCCATTTTTTGTTAAAAAAGAACAGGTTGACATAAGGGAATCATCTATTATTATTGCTAAATATACAATAATGATAAGAAATATTTACTTTTAAAATTATTAAGGGAATCCTGATGTGTCCCATCTGCACCTGTGGTCAGTTTTCAGTGCTTTAAAGGAAGGAAGGAAAATACTCGCTTTAGTACAAACCAGGTTTTCTGTGCTTGCAAGAAGGAAATTTGAGGAAAAGTATCACCCTGGATTTGGTACACCTTATTAAATCCCGTGAATTTTTTCTGTGGACTTCAGTTTAGGATATTTGAACATAAAAAAATATAAAATGTCCTTACATGATTTACACTGCCAGGAACACTCTTTTAGAAAAAAAAAAAAAAAAAAAAAAAAAAAAAAAATCGGAGATATTCATACAGTTATTTATCTGTCCAACAAAACTGCATGCAAGACAGGGATAGAAAATCTTACAGGCGGACACTTAAATCTTTCCTAGTCACAAGCATCAAGACACAAGTGTAGAAGGAGATTACTGCTGTCTGGTATGAGAATGAGAACACTAGTTATTGAATCAGTATTTCTCAGGTTCACCTTGACTGATTTTATTAGGTGTTCAGTGATACCAATGACATCCAGTGATCCACTTCAGTTAACAGCTGTTTTTTTCTCATATTGTGAGAAGGCCCACCAGATTTGTGCCATATAGTTTTCTATTCCATTCTTCCAAGAAGCAGATTGCTTGGTAGCAGGCATGATGATGATACAATAATAATATGAACTTCTAGCTGAGATGAATGCCTATTAGTCTTCCCTCTGCCCTTTATCACAAAATGCCAGATGGTTGCTTTCTACTTTCTCCAGTTCCCCCATTTCCCAACAGTCAATTGTGATTTCTGTCACAATGATTTCCAAATCTGGTTCTCAAAGAAGTATTCATTTTTTTAATGGTCTGAAGTGATGACATTTGAGCTTCTACCACAGATATCTCTACATTAAAAGTAAGATTCATTGTCTTCTATGTTATCTTGCCTTATATTTTTAGAGTTCTAAACCACTAGGTTTTTTTTTCATTTTTACATATATTACTGTACTTTCCAGTTTGAGCTGTATAATATAATAACAAAAAATAATTAAAAAAAAAAAAACAAAACTTCTTTCTGAGCATGCACTTGCTCTCCCTGTTGTTTCATTACCATGAAGACTAATGTGTTCTAGAATAAAATTATGAAAACCTTAAAATATGAACAGATCAGCGTTATATGAAATATTTCATACTGATCATATTACTTCTGTGGCTTTACTAGTGTAATTGTACTCAGTACTGTAAAATAATAAGTCTAGTTAGAACTCCTAATAATTCAGTGTAAATATAACTATAGAATCAATTGAGAAATACACTTTAAAGGTTCTGCAAGAAAAAAATATGGTACATACCAAAATAAAATTCTGGATTATATGATCCTAAATATAATTCTTTAATCAGTAGGACATTTTAACCAGTTTAACTAGTAACAAGGTGGAATGGAACAGCTCTGTTTCCAATAATATGCTTTTGAATTTGCCTTTTACCTCAGGTCTACATCTTCATAACTGGGTAAATATTGATTGACTATGAATTCATCCATTGTTTGAAGAAATGTAACCCATTCCTGCCTACATTGGCTTACAATTAAAATTTACGAAACAGACCTCTTTCAAGTTAGTTTCATAAGACTTCCAGACTACAGAGCCACACCGCTATCCCACTGAACAAAATGGTTTTAATTTATTACTGTTTAGTCTGCCAGACATTTTCCTGGTAGTACATATTCTATTAATTCCCTTGGCCTTAATTCTAAAGGCTACAGTGATTCCTTAGGAAGTAAAAGAGCACATATAATCAGACATTTTGTAAATTATTTTTCACTTATCTTTAAAATCAACTAGCCACACATCAAAATATCTGTCCCTAATATAGGTTCTTGTCTGTTTCAATTTCCTTCTTAGGAATTTTTTTATTGTCTTTTTTTTTAGAATGTGCCTCAATGACCAATGATTACAGGCACTAGTGTTGAAAAGCAGTAGAGTGCAAAAAAGATATGAAGAAGATCATTAATTTTTTTTTGTGTATTATAGAATACATTCCACTTAAACATTCCTAAAATTCCTCTTAGAGGAAGCAAGCTTTTCAGCATCTGTAGTTCTACTATCTATCTCTGACAAAGGGCAGCTTTAAGACCTAATATCTTATCTATTAATTCAATTACAGAAACATTTTTACCTCTTGTTCTAATATGTATTATAAAGGTAAGCTAGAAATGCCACAAAGCATTTTTTTTTCATTAACCTGTAATGATATACCTTTCAAGATTCATAAAATAGTCAATAGCAGAAAGATTTCATGAGGAAGAAACATCCAAAATAAATTATCTGATATTCTTTTTAGTCTGTAATCAATAACTATTTCCATTGTAGTTTTTACACCATGAAACTATGTTAGAATGGATCTCTGCATGTCTGGATGTGTTATTGGATGTTGTTTCTAGATATATGTTACTCTTTTTGCTCCATACATATTCTTTTCTCTCTGCATGAAAAGAACTTGTAGAACCTTCTTAATAATGAATTATTTATCTGATCATGTTCCAAAGTGCTTTTGTCTTTCTGCAGTTTTGTCTTTCACTCTGAAATTCATAACCTTCATAAATCTAAATATTGTATTCACATATCTGAAATATCTTTTATTTTCTGAGCAGCTCCCAAACATTCACCAACAGTCTTACAAGTAATAATAAGAAGACTGCAGCAGTTTTGTGATTAGGTTTTAGTAAAAACAACTGCTTACATTTTGTTCAACAATTCAGGAAAGGACATGTTAACATGTTCTGATGACAAAATACTTCACACCTCCGTTTGTATCATCAATATCAGTAAGTCTTCTTAACTTAGTAACTTTAACAGATCCCTCATTTCCAGGTATGGATGGCACAATCAGTACTATGTGAAAATGAATCAGGATATCAAATCATTTTCAAAACTTTTTAGCCGATGCAAAAAATGAGAAATGGATTTTATATCACAGAAAATGAAATGGCCCAAAAGATTGTGTTTATTTTACTGA